CCCCCCAGCCCCCTGCAAAGTTTCAAGAGGTTTTTTGCCATTGACTTCAATGGCCCCATTGGTTATAATGGACCCGAATTTTTCGGGTTTCCCGAATATTTTCGGATATCTATGCTTTACCGAATTAGATATTCGGGTTTTTTCGGGTTTCCCGAAAAAATTCAGGTTCAATAAACCTGAATCCGAATTTTACCGAATTTTTTTTTTTTGCACATCCCTACTAATGACTTCAATAGAAGTTCCAGGTTGGTGCATTTCAGCCATGCAGCCCAATCGTGTTTAGTCAATATCTAGTCCTGCTGTGCCTTTAGAATATCACTCCATTATTTCCACAGGTAAAGTACTTTAAATAAAACCACTGTCTGCATTATACCATATGTATCAAAAACACAGAAAGTCCTACCTGGCCCCATCCACTCTCTAAGAACACTTGGTGGGTACTAGGAAAAATGCTGGCAGTTGCCATAGGGCCATGGGTGCCACATTGGGGATTGCTTTCTTATGCATTCTCCTGAAGACTTTAGCACATCAGGAAGTACAAAGGAATAGCAACGGCTCACCTGCTCAAGCAAATCTCAACCCCCTTTTATATCAGCCTTATGTTTCTAATTTAAAACACATTTACTTCATTTATAGACCGCATTTCTTGCTGAAACAGCAACAATGGAACAGGACAATATGATACAGACAACAAACAAAACAGTAAATCTAATTAAAGATTTAGAAAAAAAGGTAATAAAACAATACAATGTTATGCATACAATAAACAATGCAACTAAACTGCCTGATTTTTTCACAGACATTACAACTACACCCCTATTCTTTTGTTTTTAAGAATGCCCCCCTGAAGAACTCCATGTTACAAGTGGTTCAGGAAATTTCTATAATGCCACCAAGTTACTGTATAAGCCTAACTCAGTTACACTGAAATCAATGGATTCAACTGTTAGTGAGGCACACAGTTCCCATACTTTGAATGCCCATGTTTAGTAGACTGATTTTTTAAGCCCCTTGGTAAACATATACATTATTTAGAAAATAGTCATCACATTCCTACCTTCACACTGATCTCCTGCTTGAGACAGCTGATAACCTTGGCTGCAAAGGCATCTGAAAGAGCCTTCAAGGTTTTCACACTGCCCGTTTGTGCAGAGACTGCTGTACTGACATTCATTTATATCTGTGAATACAAATGATATATTTTAAAGCTCATGCATGCTTATATATAACAATGCTCAAAGCTTTTCAATGGAATCTGTCAACTTTTTTGGGGGTATAATCTCTTTATTGGTTTTCCAAAACAAAAAGGAAAGAAAATTATTTTTTCCTACAACACAGTATTTCAGCAAAGAAAATGCCCATTACATATTTTCTCTTCTCTTATCTATATCTTCAAGAATAATTCATTGGGTATTTCTAGTAATTAACATAACCAAACTATATACAACCCCTAGTACAGATTTCATCAGGATTACGTTTCTACCACATAGTATTTCTGTAGAAATAACAAGTTAATATTTTCTCTCTTCTTAACCCAATACCATCAATAACTCATCACATAGTTCAAACACATAAAATAACCCAAGCAATGATCTAACCACTGAGCATGAATTTTTCAGAATTTCTTTTTCTATAAACAGGCCAAAGTTAATATATTACCTTAATTTTTCTAGTCCTTTCTAAATAATAGCCAAGGTTTTATGAACTATAGTCAAGTACCAAGCTAAGGCTCATTTTCAATCTCTTTTCTTTAAACTTAGATTACTACTATTATTCTTTCAGCAACTATTTAACCAATAGTTATACCTTGTATTTCTGATATTCTACTCTCCTCATATCCCAGTTAACAATGTTTATTCTCTTACCCTAATTGTTTTTAGTAAATGAAAAGAAAACTATACCAAATTAAGCAGATATTCTCATATTTCTTTATCATTCTGTGCCTTTACATCTCATCCATTTTCTTATAAATTACATATGATCAGGTATTCAGGTATCTTCATACTATCTATTTCATTCCCTTCTGCACTATCTTTTAATTATTTGTTTTATATTATTCATGTTAAAATAACTAATGATTCCCAATTATTAACAATTTTATCACATTTTACCACCACCAATTAGATACATAAACAATAAAATACAGGTAAGAATAATAATTGAAGATTTCCTTTAGACAATAAAAGAGATATCAAAACACAGTTATCCGTAGCCTTCGTTTCCATATTACAAAGGTTTCATCATTTTGTGCATTATACAGACAAAAGAAATTGGTCTGGGACACCTTTTTCTTGATCATCATACTTCAATGTTGTCGAAGGCTTTCACCGCTTGAGTTCATTAGTTGCTATAGATTTTCCGGGATGTGTGGCTGTGGTCTTGGCATTGTAGAACCTGATGTTTCGCCAGTAACTGTGACTGGCATCCTCAGAGGTATAACCACAGAAAGATGGAATACTCTCTGTGTCTTATCTCTTTGTATTCGTGGTATTTTCCTTCCATGTTTTGCCTTTCCTGTTTTGCTGGCACTGTCTTCAATTTTCTATTATCGCTGTTATTTTTATTTGGAGGACGCCTCACTCTCCTTTTAGCCACCTTATTCATTTCTCTGTGTGATTGTTCTCGGGAGCCTCTTTTTATCAATCCCACCACCAAAGAGTGTTTTGTGAGATTCTTTACTACACACATTTGACTGGACACACTCCTTTTTCATTCCATAGGTAAAGGAGGCATATCTTGTATCCCCTTTTCTTGACTATAGTCCTGTTCCCTCTCTAAAATCCCTGAACTCCGCCGAAGCTGTAATGGCTCCTCCTCATTTTTCAATTTCAAGTCTGTATTCTGAAAGTTCTCAAAAACGTTTTTGCAAGCTTTTTCGACTGCCTTCCGCACCTCATCAGACAAAAACTTTTAAAATTGTTCCAAGGTCAATTGTCCAATTTCTGTATTTTCTAAATCTATCTCCTCAGTTTCCCCTGCTGATACTTCCTCATTCTCCCCTGCTAGCACCATTTTCTTATCTTTTACTCCGGTTCTTTTCTTAGCCATGTTTACTCTTCCAAAATTTGGAGATACTCCTGGGGGATCAATTAATGGAGGTCTTCACCAGATTATAGCAGAATATACGCGTACTCACATTCTTGCCTTTGTTGTTGTATATTATGTTGTAAATCCAAGATTTTTAAAATGGGTAATCACAGCTATGCAAACATGGCGGAGCATGTAGCTCCGTTCTTCGCTCCTGCTTCGAAACAAATCAGTCTCGTCCCATTCACCGCCGTTTGCGGACCATCCAATCAAGTCTCCAGGAAATCTGGTGGAAACCCCGCTGGTCACAAGGACCCTGGGGGCTCTGAAAAAGCAAAGAAGGTTGGGGCTAGTCGGGAGCATCCCGTGAAACCTACCCTCCCCCCAAAAAGAAAGGAACTTCGTGGACTGGTAATTGAACAGAGAAGGCTACATGAAACTTTGCTGCCCCTTGCTATATTATAATGAAAAAATTTGCACCATAACATAGTCAACATTATGTTTAAACAAATTAGTGGATCGCTCAGGGGACAACATAAGGGGGGCAGGAGGTGGGGGTGAACACGTGACACTGATGACACAAAAGGGCAGCAGCAAACAAAATTCGAAATTGGGAATTCCTCACTGGAAAACTGCGAGTTCAGATTTGAAGGGGAAAAAATGGCAGAAAAAGTGGAATAGGAAAATGCAGGTTAATGGGGCACTAAATTCAGATCTACTCCCGGGGAGGCAAAAAGTTGTGTGGAAAGTTTCACAAACTTTGATTATTTAAGAACACTGATGCAGAGGTTTGTACTTGTACAGAAATGATCCTTGTGTTTGCCTCTGTGGTGTTGTCTGAAGTGATGCTTGATGTCTCTTCTTTAGCTAGGGTCTCATACTGACAAGAACCTGGGCTTTTCCACATTGTTTTTTCCCTCATTGTTTCTGGCCCCATACTGCTTCAGATTATCCCCTGATTTCTGCATATTTTTGCCCCTTTGGATTTCACTACGTTTTTTGTTTTCCCTGTTCTCCTCCAGCTTTTTAAAAAGTACTTTTACTCTGATGTTTTTGTGGAAGTTGATTTTGAATTGGCTTTCTCTTATTGTGTGATGTTTCGATGGATTTTCTTTGTCCCACCCACTGCTACCCACCTCTAGGCCACTTTTCAAAGAGTGGACATTGTAATTGTTAAACCACTCCCTCTCCCCACACCAGTAATTTAATTTTTAAAGGCCCTAAAATATCAATATAACACTGAATTCCCAGCTTTCATTTTAAAAAATATATGTGTATCTCCTCCCCTTGCAGAGATATAAGGAAAAAGACATATCTCCAAGAGAGAAGAGACTAGAGCAGGGGTGGTCAAACTTCGTAAGATCCACATAGAATAAATGTCAGATATTTGAGAGCTGCATGACATTAACAAATACTACACACATGTTTTTATTGAAAAATATGCAAATTTGTTTATTAGTATTAAATGAGACTGTCAAAAATAAAACAAAATAGGTAAAAACAGGTAGCGATAGTGATATTTATTTGTCCAATTATATTTGTCTGCTAATGATATTTATTTGTCTAAGAGAGAGAGAGAGAGAGAGGTGGAAAGAAAGAATGAAATAGGTGGAAAGAAACAGAGATGAGGGAGCAAACAGATGGTGGGAGGGAGGGGGAGGAAAGAAGGAAGAGAGAGAGAAAGGAAGGAAGGGAGCAAGAGTGAAAAAGAAAGGTGGAAAGAAAGCATATAGATAGGGGAGGGAGAAAAAAGAGAGAAAGAAACAAAGAAAGGAAATAGATGGGAAGAGATGGGGAGGAAGGACAGAAGGGAGAAAGAGAAAGGTGGAAAGAATGAAAGAGGTGGGAAAAAGGAGAGAGAGAGAAAGAGAAAGAAACAAGGAATGCAAATAAATGAGGGAGGTGGAAGAAGGGAGAGAGAGAGAGAGGCTGCGGTCACATGGTCATTTTGATCGGGTTTCACCGCTGCTTCCTCTCACATTTAAAATTGCTGATCAGATGAGTGCATCCGCCTCCCGCACTGTGGGCTCAGTCACACAATCCTCCTTGTTCCCTAGCGAGTTTTCTGACACCGGGAAAATCAAGTACTTTCTGGGCATTGGTGCTGTGATGATTTTGCTCATCTGGACAGCCATCTCTCACAACAATTGTGATCAGGGTTGTCTGACCATTCTTTGCGTGATGAGGTCCCCCCCCCCAGCTTCTGCCTTTGTTTGCATGAGCAATCATTCACTGATTAAATCCTGTGTTTAAATGTTCAAGCGCACATCCCCACCCTTCCGATTTGCCTACTGTTTGCAAGGCATTTCCCCACTTGTTGACAGCGTGCTATCAGCCTCTGACCTCTAAACACCTTTTCGGAGGTGTGGAAAGTTGCTGAGGGGGGAGGCGGGTGGGGGTGGGAGGGAAAGGAAGGGCTGGGTGGACTGTTGGGTGGGCGGGCAGCAGAGAGAGACGCAAGAGCCATCTGCATTCTGCTCGCCTGGCGGGCTAGGGACGCAGCACCATGGAGTCCAAGCACAAGGAGCTGCTGGCTCAGTGCTGAGGTGGACCGGGTGGTTGAGCTGCTGGAGAGGCCCGACGCCCTGGGGCCTCATGAGACGCTATCTACACAGTGCCCAGAGCCTTGTGGCACAATGCTTGTGGTTCGGGGAGGGATGTGTGATCATCCCAACCTGAAGAAAAATATTCCTGATCAAAAAATAGCGAGAAGAAATCGCAGTTTAGTTTGCCTTGTGACCACAGCCAAAGAGAGAAAGAAAGGAAGGGAGAGAGAGAAAGGAAGGTGAAAATAAAGAAAGAGGTGAAAAGAAAGCAAATAGATGGGAAGGGAAGGAGAAAAGGAGAAGTGCAAAGAAAGCAAATTTAACTTTAAATGTGTTCTCCAAACCTGCCTACATGGCCCCACGCCAGCTGGCTTGGCTTGGAGAAAGGATTTAAAGAGACAAATGCCATCTCTGAACCAAGCCAAGCCAGCCGGGCTGGTGTGGCGGGGCTTCGAGAACACATTTAACTTTAGATGGGGAAGGAGGGGAGAAAGAGAGAGAGAGAGAGAAAGAAAGAAAGGTGGAAAGAAAGAGGAAAGAAAGCAAATAGATGTGAGGGAGGGAGAGGTGGAGAGAAAGCAACTTGAACTTTAAATGCATGCTGCAAGCCTTCCCCCCACCCCCACACCAGCTGGCTTGGCTTGGAGAAGGGATTTAAATAGATAAATGCGTTCTCCAAACCAGCTGGTGGCGCGGGGGGGGGGCTTTAAAGTTAACGTTGCTTTCTTTCTCTGCTCCCCCCCCACCTCAAGCCTACCCAGGGAGGGGTACACTGGCTGGGGAAGGGAAGACCGATTGGAGAGGCATGGCTCCCCTTCGCTTCCCCAGCTGCCCGCTGTGAGCCACACAATATATGTGAAAGAACCGCAGTTTGGCCACCCCTGGACTAGAGACTTTTTTTTCAATGGAAGCTGGGAATTCAGAGAACCTGCTTAAACTATCATTACAGGACTACAGCATTATAGCACTATTGATATTTTAGGGCCGTTAAAAAAATGAGTGGTACTGTGACACCACCAATAATTACAACAATAAGGACAGCACCCTCTCTTGAAAATCCTCTTTATTGACCCACATGTGGAAGAAAATAAACTTACACCACAACTGTAAAAATGCACAGGGAAGGCAGACATGTGGAAGAATCCTGCCCAAACTTATTCCAATGCTTGCGGATCGACTCCCAAGAAAATCAGGAGTAACTCGAGCATGCAGAAAAGGTCCCACACAGACAGCAGCACTTTCTTTTACGAACCTGGTGTGGTGAAGGCACCATATGGACCCCATTTCAAGTAACCTTTGCATAAGACAATGTGCAGTCCAACCAAACAAGACTAGAGGTCAGGGAGAAGAAATTTCTATTTTTTGAAAATTCAGTTTTAGAAGTTTTATCATATACTGTCTGCCATGCATTTTCCTCTGCTAAAAGAAGTTTCTCATAGGAAGGAAAATGAAAGGTTCTGTAAAGGAGGAAAATATGCAGATAGGTGGGTAGACAGACAGATAATGGAAGTTCGTCTGCTTAAAGTCACAGGAAAGAGGGAGTAAGCTGCTCATGATTTGTCAACCAGCACTAACACAACAGCTGTCTGTATCAAGACAAGTATATCAGCTCTGTCTGTCATTTTTAAATATCCCTTTTACTTTGAACACTGAAAGCAGACAGCACAGGGTATGATGCCAAGAGCCAGAGCCAATGTAAGCAACGACAAAAAAATCCTAGCCTAGACACCTAAAAGCCTTACACAAGAATTCCAGACAACACAGGAAAATATAATTTCTTTTAGCTGGATTTTTTGCAGAAAAAGTTAACTTCAGAAATACACTGCTCAATAACACACATATTGTAAAAACAAAGTATAAGATAAGACATGAAAGCAAATAGGACATTTTTTTCTTGAGCTTATAAGAGCAAAGTTTTGTTAATAATCTATATTGTGTGGGGAGACTAAAAGGGCAGGTCCACAAGCCTTTGAAAGACATGATTATTCTTTTACTCTGATGTATATTTCATTGTATATATGTCTAGGTTGCAGCTAGAGTACATAGAGTACAGAAAGGCTTTCAAATGCATCCCTCATACAAGAAGGAATTACATTTTACATTTAATTTACAGTCTCAGTGAGGCCAAAACCACATGTTATTGGTTATATATGTGGCTGCTGTTGAAACTTGCAATCCTGTGTCTCCTCCTCCACAATAAAGTGTGGTAGAATAGAAGTCTACTGTGACAATATTGTACTTCAATTAAGAATCACAATCGAAGCATATTCAAATACTCTGAAGTAGCTCTGAAGATCAGAAAACTGCATTCACCCTTATCTTGCTTTCCCACGTGCAAAACTTTCCCATCCATTTCCATGGAGATGGCCACTATGTACATGCAAAAAAAAAGGATACACAGGGAGCTGCCCTCTCTCCTGAAGTGACACGCAAGTGCACTCATGCAAGAGCTTCATGAGTATTCTATGTATTTTAATATAGAAAGCATGATACTCCCTGTAAGCTTCAAAATTAATGGCTCACTACCTTTATAAAATGGAAAATTCTGAATAAATGAGAAAAATTAACAAGGTAATAAACTGTGAAAAATCCAGGTCATAAAAACCAAGCCTCAAATCAGCATTACTGAATTATTTTGGAACTACTGGAAAAGAACAAAATAACCTTACTTGATGTTCAGCATGATGCTTCTGTAAGCCAAATTCTGAATTGCTTTAAGGTTTGTTATAGTATTTGCAAATGCATTTTCTGGACCTCAATACAGCACTTTCATTTATCGTGAGCTTTATATCCAGGGGCGTAGCCAGAAAATTTTAGTTGGTGGGGCATTGGGAAATGTTCAACCAGCAAGTTTTTTTAAAAGTAACTAACGGGAGAAACAGCCATGCAAAAAACTTGAGGGGGGGGGGAGAGGCAAGGATAAGAGTTGAATGGCGGGCAAGAGAAAGACAAGGAAAACTGGAGGAAGACTTCAGCAAGTGCTGAGGAGGAGGGAGAGAGAAAGGGGGGGCAGAGGAGGAGGAGGCGGCCGCCTGGTTGCTGCCACTGCTTGCGCTACTGCTGTGAAGCACCTTGACACATTCTGGCCAAGGCTGGTTAACAAGCATTCCAGCCATGCTCCACCCATGCAGCCTCTGCCTCCATGCCCATTGCCAGGCCAACAGGTAAGGGCACAGCCAGGGCAGCCGGAGTTGTGGGGCCTGGGCCATAAGTGATAGCGCACGTGCCCCTAAGTGCCCCACTGTGACTATGCACTGGTTTATCTCTCCCACAGTTTCACTATGACAACCACTGGAGACAGATAACATTGTGTAAGGCCATTCAGGTACTTTCTCTGTACCTGAAAAGGCACAAAAAAACTGGAAGGGAAACTCCCTCCCTGGACCATGCACAGGTAGACAATATGTATTTCCTTTGATGATTCATCACCCCTTCACAGGGACATAATTTAGTGAGTGGATCACCCAGATTTCGTCAGTTTAGGGGTCCTGCCTATTCTTCCAGGTTTTCATACCTGTTGAGTGTTGCAATGCCCAGCAACCTTTGTTGAGTGAATGCTGTGTTACCCAGTAAAGTGACAGCCCATAAGCGATGTGCTGTGCACTCTGTCTTTCCCCCTCTCTTGCTTCTTTGGGGCTCTTAAACTTAAATTTTGTTCTCACTGTAGTTAGGCAGCACTGAGGGAGACAAGTAATCATCTGGAAATATTCACTTCTTAAGTTATGTTATTTATAAATGAGGAATCTATTATATAAACATTTCCAATCAACTCTTGAGTACCCTCCACCCACAGCATTAAAGAAAACACAAATGTAACAAAACTGGGAGCACATGAAATACTTACCATGACACTTTCCATTCCAGCCTCTGAACCCATCTCTGCAGGGGACACATTGGTAAGAACCAGGAGTATTAATGCAATGTGCATCTGGACAAGTATGTGGAATCGAGCATTCATCAATATCTTTAAAATTAAAGCAAAGCAAATGTTAATAATGAATAAAGAGTAAATTCATGTTAACATAATTATGTTATATAATGAATGTTTGATATTCTGTAACAGAATCTTCAGTAGATAGCACAGATCCACAGAATTAAATCATATAATGCAGGGGTGTCGAACTCATTTGTTATGAGGGCCGGATCTGACATAAATGTCACTTTACCGGGCTGGGCAATGCCATAAAATGTAACATGAGGTACTGGAGATATAAACTTTATAAAGTTGATTTCACATGCTGAATGGCAATAGCAGGTGAATAACAATAGCAGGCTTTAAAAAATTGTTTCTAAAATTCACTTTTTAAAAAGGTATGGCCATTGATTCCACTTCTCTTTCTTAAAAACAGAATTTTTCTTTGATTTCTCTTTAGTAAGGTCAGCCCTTGCAACTGTCTTAAGTTACACACCATACGGTGGCGCAGTAGGAGGAGGTGGACACTGTGCCTCTGAGCATGTGCAGAGTAAAAATTAAAACTCTGCAGAACCTCCCTTCCTGTCCCCCCCCATTAGAAATAGACTCCAAATTCCTAAAAAGAGGGAAAGAAACAGATCGTGGGATTTCAGGGAGAAACTGGGTAAAGAGGAATCTAGAGAAAAACTGCATGGATTTCCAACAGCACTCACTCCCCCAGAGGTGTGCACTTTGGGTAGCAGCCAGAAGCCAGAATCTCTGCAGACCCTTTGCTTGGAAGCAAATCCCATTCACTTCGGGAGGGCTTACTCACAAGTAGGCGAGCAGATCACCC